GGCTACATATATATATATATAAATTGCTACTAGTGTTACGATTGCTATATATTGCTATTGTGATTATATCTTGTTATTATTACTATAAGCTCCTGCTTGGAGAAAGGTCCTCACCTTTCCTTGTGTAGGTCGCGGTTTAGGATTTATCGTCAAACTTTCGCTTGGTTGCGCAAGATCGTGACGTTGTTTGTGCTACAGGCATTGTCTGTGCATCGTAGGACTTAGCAAGATTGGGTGTATCAGTACAGGGGGATGATATATGCCCCTGACTCAATGAGCTCTTTTTCGGGGTTGTCTGCGGGCTCCTGTAGGCTTCCGTACGCAGAGATTGAGACTGCACAGTCGGTATGCGATGTTGTCAATATCTCCTCCCCACACGTTCCTGACTTTGAAATCCTCCGAAATGAACGCATCTAGCTAGGGCCTTTAAGGTATCCTGGTTTAGACATTCTCCCATACTTTTCCTTGCAAAGCAGCAAAGAAGTTGGCAAGCTCGTTCGATTTGGGAGTTTTTCAGCATGATGGCTGTGCACACCTTTTCGGGGGACCCCTAGCAGCTCCTTCTACGCTCATGTTTTTCTAGGTTTTCAAGTGTAATTACTTCTTTTTCGTTTGAGCCGGCTCATCCTAAAGCGATACAGACGACTTTGACCATCCACCATGACCATGGGACCCTGAAACTGGTTTAGGGCTCAGGGTTTAGGGTCATGAAAGAAGAAGAGTTGCGCAGGTTCTCTGATGGCTGATTGTTGAAGTAGCGCCGGGGAGGTGCTCCGCAGCAGTTCCTTTGCCCGCTAAACAGTATTCCCCATTATCAGAATCCACCTGAAATCCGGGCCCAAAACCCCCAAACCCTAAATCAAATCCCTAAACCCTCTTGAGGTACCTTCAAATTGAAACCCTAAACCTGAAACCTCACACGCTAAACCCAAAACCCTAAATCCCCAAACCCCGAAATGCCAAAACCCTAAGCCCTAAACCCCTAAACCCGCGAAACAAGAAAAAGAAAACACAACCACTAAGCCCCAAACCCTACCTCCAGGAGCATGAGACATTGGACGACGACAACAACAACCAGGAGGAAGACGAGGCTAAGTTCGGTGTAGCGTTTAGGGTTTAGGGGTTAAGGGTTAAGGGTTTAGGGTTTAGGGGTTTAGGTGTCAAGGGTTTAGGTGTCAAGGGTTTAGGTGTTAAGGGTTAAGGGCGTGGTGTTTAAGCTTTAGGGTGTAGGGTCTAGGGTTGAGGGTTATACAGCGTTATATAGGGTTGTATAGGTATTGCTATATATAAATATAATTGATATGTAAATATTGGGGATTATGTTGTATTTCGGGATAATGGAGAATCAAATGGAAAAATGAAATGGAAGCTACGATTATATGGGTATCTTACCCCAATACTGGAGAATCAAATCGAAAAGGAAAATGAACATGACATTGAAACGATCTATTCCTTAGGATTCCCGGCTTAAAGTTATATGGGTCATATAGGGACTATGGGAAATGACATCGAAATTGCTCTGTAGGTTTTACTGTAGAGTTCAAAGCTTACAGTTTACAGTTGGGGGTTAGGACAGAGTTTTTTGCTGTAGGCTTCAAGTTCAGAGGTCGAGGTTAGGGTGTGCGCGTGTGGGGTTTTTAATTTGGGGGTTTGGGTGTCTCCTAAACCCTAAACCCGGTGGGATATCTATGCGCAGACGGCACCGCGTTACTCCCAGCCGGCAGTGAGTGGTGGCATACGGGAGTTTCCTGAACTTAGGGGTACCGTGTTGGGGGTCCCCACAATAAGGATTATCGCGTTTGGGGGTCTACATTGGGGTCCCCCTATTTAGGGAAGCTACCATACAGATTTCTCCTGCTGCTGTTGACGACCATCTTTATTGCCATCATTCTTGTTAATTCTGGGGAGGTCTCCAGGGCCAGATCCTGAATGATGAGGTGATGTCACGCAGCGGTGCGTAGTTTTGTGTTGGTGGTTTAAGAGGATTCGACTCCTGACATATGACGGTTTCCATGTACTCAATGTAACGGCATTCAATGTTTTGTTTTTGCTCTCAATGCGCAAAACTTCTGGAGGGTTGTACAGTGCCCACTGCACAACCTCAGCTATCAGCACATGATCGGCTACGCATGCGGTGTTTCAAAAACAGAGCTGTTGGCTATGCCCCTTCTGCGGCATAGCCACAAGCTGGAGCATCCCGGCTCTAGATGATTCGAAGAGGAGCATGTAACAGCGCACCACCCTCAAGTGTCTGGTCAGCTCAGTAGCAAGAAAAGATTTCTGTCAAGTGCTGAAATCACGGCCCTGCATCAGGATGAAGGTGCTTCCTCCGACGATGACAATGCGGAGGATGCCAACACACCAGGGGACTATCCAGACAACATGAGCAAGGACGAGGCCGGCAGGGAGGGGCAGGGGAGATCTTTGCTTTGCTTTTAAAGGCCCAAGGGTACATATATAATAACCACAGAACATTGCGCGGTGTTTCAACAAAGGGTCCTTTTATATTCCAAAGCCATTATACTTCTTGTGATCAGATTTAACTCTTCACAATCTTCATTCATTGTCACCATTGTCTGGTGACAAAGTGCAAGTGAGCTGGTACATGGAGGCAAGACAAAAATGCCATGGCCCCGGAGCGATGTTGACTCCAGAAGAAGTGCCAGTCCTGTTGCAAGTCCACCAAAGCCTCGGCCACCGCCCCATGGGTATTTCTCCAACTAGGGGTCCTCTATTGTGAGCCAGAAGATACTACTCCTTTTCAGGGTATGCCTAACAAGTACTTTAGAGAAATCCTCCTGCCAGGTGAAAGAGAAGTCGCCATTAGGGCGCTTCGTTCGCTTCAATCGCAAGCTCGGATCTGGGTCCTACAAGACCGTTTGGCTGGGCTTTGACAATGACACAGGCCTGTGTTGGGTTTAGGGTTTAGGATTATATCCCTTTGTAGCCGCAACCCCTTATAGTAGTTTTCAGTTTCTTTTCCATGATCTCTATATATCCCCAATATAGTTTATATAGGGTTTAGGGTTACCATCCGGAATGGCTTTAACTGTGACACAGGCCTGGGCGGTATGTGACTGGCAAGGGCAGGTTGGGGGATTTCAATGGTTATTACTACGATAACGATATATAAGTACTACTACGGTTGCTACAATTCCATGATGATAAGTAGCATTATTCTGGTTACTGTTGCATTTATTGGGGTCTGTTGTTTTGGAGCTTTGTTCGGGAATGTTCTTTCATTCCTTCATCCGTTCTTCCTTGCAGGCATATAGGCGAAGGCTCTCTCTCTCTCTCTGTCTGCAATGACGGGGCGACGGCTTTTCACATCCAGGTTCTCAAGACACGAAGATTGCAGTGGAGTGTAGACGCATTAGCGAGAACAGGGTGATCGGCACTTGAGTGGCTCAGGGTCCTTCATTGCAGGTATGGAAGTCGCCTGGAACATCATCTCCTTCCAGAACTTAGACAAGCAGCTCAGCTAGAGAATTTGGGTGTGGCAGTGCTGTTGCTTGAAGTAGAAGTATGTGTGAAGATGATTTCGCGTAAGTCTTCGAACAGGATTCGCTGTGCTTGCTTTCTTACATTATCTCAAGCGTGCACGCATGCAGACAGAGAGAGCTTGGATGCTGTCTTTGTCATACTAATATAATAATAGTAGTAAAACATAGTAGTAATGATAATAATAGTAATGATAGCTATAATAATAGCAATAATAGTAGTAATCATAGTAAACTCCTCCTCAGGAAGGCCAAGAAGCGAATCTCCGACGAGATTCAGATGCTCAAGAACTTGAAGCATCCAAAGATTATCACCTTCATCAACGCCTGGACTAACAAGGAGCAAGAAAAGGCCCGGGCTACCATGACAATTATTCTTACTATTATTATACTTTAATTGTTATTATAATCATTATACAACTGTTATATTGTTATCGTTATATGATTATTACTCTTACTATTATTACTATACTTGAATTGTTAATTTCAAATATAATACTATCATTATACTACTTTTATATTGTTATTGTGATATTACTGTTATACTACTAAGCATTCCTCAGCTGAGCATGAGAGGGGTATGTCCCAAACTGGGGGGCGGGAAGGTCATGTTTCCCTAATTTGTTCCATGATGTTTCTTACTGTTTCCCACAAAGTAAATTCATAACCCCACATTATTACCCTCAACCCCAAATCCCCGAAACCCAAACCCTCTACATATGTATATGTATCTATATATACATATATGATGTACAAACGGGTAATATCTCAAAAATGTAGGCTCCTTTTGATGGATTCTATTACGGCCCTTAATATCCCCGGTACGAAAATGGGACCCTAATTTTGGGGAACATACATACATATAAATGCATGTATATATATATATATCCCTCTCTCTCTCTCTCTCTCTCAATTTTCAATTGTAGTTTAGGAGGAGCCCTCACCCTGTAATAGTGGTATAATAGGAATATAAGAGGACCCTAATATAATCCCTAGTATCCCTTATAGTCACGATTACTGGGTGGGGGGTCCTCCTAAACCCTAAACCCTAAACCCTAAACCCTAAATATTTTATCCAAGAACCTCGAAGCCTCGAGCTTTTGCCCCTACAGGTCTGCTTCATTACCGAGCGGGTCACGGGAGGTTCTCTCCTGCAGCACCTCACCGATGCTGAGTTTAGGGTTTAGGGTTGGGGTTTAGAGTTTAGGGTTTAGGATTTAGGGTTAAAGTTTTGAATTTAGGGTTAACAAGGGAATATAGCCCCCATAGAATCCCCATGTAATATTTTCCCAATGTTCCCTACTAACAACCAGTAAGGTACATCAAGCGCATCAATGCGCCGCTGAAGCTGAAAGTGATTCGCAACTGGTGCCGGCAGATCCTAGAAGGCGCCTGGCATGGATCAAGTCTTGCACGTGGGTGGGTTAAGGGTTTGGGGCTTAGGGTTTAGGGTTAAGGGCTTAGGGTTTAGGGCTTAGGGTTTAGGGTCAAGTGGGGTAATCTTGAAGGTGTGGTCCCCTTTTGGGTACCCAAACATTTGTGGCCGTATTGCACTGGGTAGGGATTACAATAGTACACCCCCAAAGGTAGCCCCCCCAGATCTAGAACCCTGTTAGGCCTTATTAAGCCCTATATAGTCCTTATTAGCTCCTTAAACGCTGGGGGGGGTACCTTTAAGGGGGTACTTTTGTAATCCCTTACTGGGACTCAGAATGGGAGCGCGAGCGTAACTTCCTAAACCCTAAACCCTACAATTTCCTACAATTCGTGGGAACCTCCTTCCACGCTGACCTAAGCCCTACAACTTAAGCCCTACAACTTCCCACTGTTTGTGGGAACTTCCTTCCACTCTGACGATGCTCCCTCGCTGTAGACTACACCGTAGACAGAGTACTAATAGCAAAAAATGATAATCGTCATAAGAGTATTAGTATAACAATAGTATAGAAAGAAAATTTTCATAGTATAACAATAGTGCGAGATGCTGGAGGGTTGCAAAAAACAATAGTATCACAGTAGTATACTACAAGTTTAGCAACAGTATAATAATAGTTGTAAAATACTAGTATAACAATAGTGTAATGAGAGTAATGCAATAGTATAACAATCACAAGGCGACGCTCCGGCTTCTGCTTGAATCTAAGATTGAAACCATGGGCCCTTAGTATGGGCCCTTAACCCTGGGGTCCTTATATACCTAATATTTCCTATATGTACCCTTTAGGGTCCCTAAAAAGGCTTAAGGGCCCATATTGGGGGCCCAGACTTCTAACCTTAGATTGAAGATGCAACCCAAAACCCTAAACCCTGAACTAACCCTAAACCCTAAACCCAAATCTATGCTGGCTGAGGCTTGAACTACCTCCACACGCGCCCAGACCCCATCATCCACAGGGACCTGAAGTGCGACAACATTTTCATCAATGGTGCCCTGGAAGCAGGGTTGAGGGTTTAGGGTTCAGGGTTCAGGGTTTAGGGTTTAGAGTTCAGGGATTAGAGTTTAGTGTTTAGGGTTTAGGGGCGAGGGGCCAATCCTCGAAGCGTAGGGGGTCCTCTCAGAATTCTGGGTTTCTGCGATCCTCGTTGACTTGTGTTTGGACTTCCTGAGAGAGTCCGCCCCTGTGAACATCAGCATGGATCTCTTACACCCAATTTGTCAGACCACTGCTTCCTTCCTAGGGATGCCATGACCTTCCTAAACCCTAAACCCTACGCCCTCTACCACCTTTGTTTCTAAACACTCCCAAGCCCAAAACTCTGGCAGATCCAAAAAGCCTGGTGTCTGGCAGCAGGCCTGGAAGTCCGAGGGCTCTGAAAAACCTTGAACTGGGTTGCCATCAAGGAACTTAAATTAAGTTACCATAATATGGGTATATGGTAAATAATAGGGTTGCCTTGTTATAGCAACCAAAAAAAGTTTCTGAACTATAGCCCAGTAAACCCTAAAACCAAGCAAGGCAATCGCGGCGACATTGTGATAGGAGATCTGGGGCTCTCCACCACGCTGCGGCAGTCCTGTGCCGTTGCCAGATCCATTGTGGGGACTGTGGACTTTATTGCCCCGGAGATTTACGATGACGCTTGCCCAACATGTTGGGGGATTAGGGATTATAGTCCCCCTGAAGTAGATAGAATATGCCTTTGCATATATTATGAAAAGATCCCCATATATCCCATAATTCTTTCTACTTAAGGGGGACTATAGCGTTTAGGATTTAGGGTTGTGGGGTTCAGGGTCCTTCAGGGTTCAGGGATCTGATTATGCCAGATTGTGGAGCTTGAGAAAATCACCATTATCCATAGTCACTTTTAGGCTGTGGCGGCCCAAACTCAAGTCTGTATTTAGGACCCCCCAAAAGGTAACCATAATTTTGGGAAACCCCCCAGCATGTGGCTTTCAGGAAACGAGGGGTCCCTTTTTAGTAGTTAATAGAATAAGGGTTATAGTATTTGCTATTCAGGAGGTTGTAGGATGGATCCAGGAGTTCCCATAATTTCGAACCTTTCTAAGAACACAACAGCTAGAGTCCTAAATATAGGCACCCTCAAAAAGCGACCCCCCCCCAATTTTTGGAGGTAAACCCTTCTAGCTGTCCGTCTTTGCGCTGTAGCCCCCCGTCTTGAGGCCCAGAGGCCGAACTTGACACATAATCCTCATAGTCGGAACTCCTAGAAAAGGACCATCTTGGTAGGACCAACCCCAAGTTTAAAACAGCTCTGAAGCAGTACTATAGGGGCCTAAATAATTACCAATATGGATGATGCAAAATAAGATGGAAACTACTGTTTAGGGTTTAGGGTTAGGATTTAGGGATAATTACCCACATTATGGTTCCATATTCCTTGTATAATTATAGTATATGGTATTCAAATGGACTTCAAAATTATATTGGTAATTATTTAGGCCCCTGTACTAGTTCCTAGCTACTACGGGCCACGCAAGTCTATCGCAATGTGGTGTAGAAGTTTGGATGCGTGAGAAGATGATCTTCGTGCAATCCGTACATTGTACTGGCAACCTAGGACCTAAGGTCTCATTCTAAACGACAAGCCCGAACCCCCTGTTAGGTCCCCAACAGTACCAAAACAGTGACTGACGCTGCCATATTTGGAAACAACACAGTAGAATCTCTAGGAGAAGATCTTGACCTGAGAGAGGAATCAGTGGCTGTAGGATAACTGATTTAGATTCGCGACTCGCCTGGAATTTTGTTGATCCAGAGGAGAACTACGGTACGGCCGTGGACATCTACGCTTTCGGGATGGTCCTCCTGGAGCCTGATTTTTTTTGGGGGGGTTGGTTGAAGGTGTTTGTGAGTCTCGGTTAGGGCTTCAGGCTATGCAGTTCAGGGCGCAGGTTTCAGGGTTTTGAGCTCAGGGTTTGGAGTTTAGGGCGCAGGGTTGGAAGGCGTTGCCGGCTCTGGGACTTTGTAGCAGATTTAGGGGATTCGGGATGGATATAGAGTTGAGGGGTTTGTTGCCTTTGTGCAGGGGCCGGTACTTCCGAATGTTGAGGGTCTGAGGGCTGGAGCCCTTGACCGTCAAGTGGCTGCAAGCCTCAAATCCTGGAACCTCCCAAAGCCACTATTGCTTACACCCTTTACCCTTGTTAAAAATTGAATCCTGTCTTGGGGATGCTCAAAGGAAGCCCTGTGATTTATTTGGGCTAGATTGGGGCCCCCTTTTCATGGAAGCTTTTGTCACGAAAACTTCTTCACATCATTCCCATGCCGCGATGTTTGGGCTTTAGTTCTGGATCTAAAGCCATGCAATTTACCTTTTTTAAACCTGAAGGATGCACAACATAAACCCTGAACCCTAAACCCCGATCCCTAAAGCCTAAACCCTGATCCCTAACCCTAAACCCTAAACACACAAAAATCCTTAAAGCCCAAAGCCTAAACCCCGTAACTGCAGGGCTTAGCCGATGTCGTCAGGAGATGATTGGCAGGGAGCAGCCTTGGAGTGAGTGTGACACTCCAGGCGGAATCTCAGGGTTGGTTTAGGGTTTTAGGGTTTAGGGTTTAGGGTTTAGGGTCCAGGGTTTGGGGTTTAGGATCTAGGAATAGGAATAGAAAATTATCAACATGCAGGGGTTATATTTGAATACCGGGGTTGGAAGTGAACATGGAACATACTATATAATCTAGGGTTTAGGGTTTTAGACCCCCCCCCCGGGGCAACAGCTGCTGTCGCTAATAGTTAGCACGCAGTTTCATAATCTGTAAGGGCAAATAAGGACTTATCCGTTGATAATAGTTAACTGAATCGTAAGCGTTAATCGCAATACTTACTAGCATGGATGTGAGACGCATTTGTCAACATGTCGGGTCAGCGCAGGGCTATTTTGAGTTCCAAGTTAATTTTGGGGGGAAGGGTACCCTGACGTGCACTCCTCAACCTTAACCTAAACGTGTTTTATTTCCACATAATAGCTGCTATGCAGAACTGAGGTCAACCTAAACCCGGGGCTTTCATGAATCAACCCGAGATTTTTTTACAGTGATCATTCACGGGCTTGGTAGGTAGTGGGCTCCAACAAGGAGTGCATAGAAAGGGCCAATGTGGAATGAATCAAGATATACCCATGTTCAGGAAAACACTTGGCACTTTGGGGCTTCAAGGTGAGGGGCTAATACTATACCTGAGGTTGCTCCCTTGACTCCTTTCTGTTGGGGGCAGTTGGGGCTGCAGTAAAGTAGGGCAGGAGAGAGTCCGTATCATTTGTCTGAAGCTCTAAGTGGTTTCAGTCTTGCTGGACTCGCTCACCAAGATTTTTGATCTTCGTCTAGCTTATGATCGCTGTTTGGACACCCTATGATTCTACGTATTAAGGCCCTCATTACAGTGGGAAGCCCAAAAGGCGAAATGCCAAGTGTAGTTGGGATTTTGCAGTCCACCCCCAGCAGATGATTACTGGTGGTTAGTCTAGAAGGAAGGAATAGGCTAAAAGAAATTGTTGCAAGAGAGTATGCAAACTCTGAAGCTCTTAAGCCTGAATGCCGTGGTAGTTTCCATTTTCTTTGCGTTTCCACGAACCAGTAGGTGTGTTTGATACAGACCTGCCAAGCCATACTTGGAGGATCATTGGGTCTAGGGTTGAGGGTTTCGATAACTGCAGTTAGAACTGGTTACAGCCACAGACTTGTTTGGGCTACTCGAAATTCTGTTTCTAACTACCCATGAACCTCCAAGTAGAATGTGCAGATGCAGGTGACGATTTGGTTCTTGAAAACCCCGCGCCCTCACATCTTTACTACGTAGGCCCTTATATATTTGACAGTTGCCCAAAATAAGGGGACCCACTGTAGACCCAAACATGCTATAATCTTCAGTCTTATTGAGGCACCCAAAATGATCTTCAGTCTTATTGAGGCACCCAAAATGATACCCCTAATTTTCTCCCAGATTTGGCGTAGTGTTCCATGTTCTCTGCTCGCGTGGCCAAGCTTCAAGTTTTTTGCTTCGCATCGATGTCATATACGGGGCCCGCATATTTTGGACAGCTTTTGAGAGGGTCCCCCATTTTCGTGAAGGGTCGGGTGAACTTCATAAGCAAAACCATAGTCCCTATTCAGCCCTCTCCTCCTTACTGACTCGCCTGAGTGTGGTTTCTTTAGCTGAGGTGGCTGAGTAATTTCTTCAATGGGTGTACTATAGTCCCCAAGCTAGACCAAGCTTATCTCCTCCTTTTGGTTGTATCACTTTACAAGAAGAGCCCATTTTGGCACAAGAAAAGCCACTGAGTTGCTCTGCTTTCAGGGCAGGTCTACAAGAAGGTCCTTGCCGGTGAGCGTCCAAGAAACCTTCGCAGGGTGAAGGCCCGGCAGATGGGCGTTTCTCAAGGATTAGGGTCTAGGGTTCAGGGATCAGGGTTTCGGGTTTAGGGATCAGGGTTTACGGTTGAGGCACGTGCACACTTGGACAATCCCCAATGTCTGTAGCAAGCATTTGAGACTGTCTGCAAGATAACATGCAAATCAAGCTGGGGGTTTAGGGTTTAGGGCCTTGGGGCCCTACAGATATGTGGAAATGAGACAGGGATTGTGGATCGAGAGGGTGCCCCTTCAAGATCATACTAGGATTATTTCCAGAAGCCCCGACATTATGGCACACCTTTTTACTGCTCGTATAATCCCTGACCTTCTCATTGTTTGGTGTATTTAGAGGAGTTTGAGACAGTTTCGAAGGCTGACAGAAGCCAGGGTCATGGTGATACTCGGTGCGACGGCAAACGGTAGAATGGTACAAGCAGTTGTAATGATGATCATGATGGGAGTCTGCACCCTAAACACTAACCCCCCCCCCACTCCCCTGAAGCCTTGAGCACCAGTAAGTATACGATCGGCGTTTTAACAAAGAGTTTGGATTGAATTCCCAACCTGGACCTAGTATGGCGGCTTCCAAGAAATTAGTAGCTCCTCTACTGGTGGCACCCCAATTGAATAGGTGAAGTTTTACAGGTTTTTGCGGTATGTATAGTAATTTCCTTAACAAGGGGAACCCAATGTAGCCCAAGATACTATAATCCTTACGGTTGAGGCCCCCGATAAGTACACCTAATTTTTGGAGACCCACATATGTGTGATCCTGGCTTGGAAGGTAATGGCATGCTCTATCCTCACCAGGAATGACCAGCCCCCATTCCAATCAGAATCTTTACTGCCCCCCCCCCCTCACCCCGCAGCTTTCCTTTGGAAGCAACTTTGGATTTAATGGGGAGCAGGTGGTTATTCAGCTCTGCTCCAGATTACCTTTTCTTGGTTAAGAAGTTTGTCCTGCCTAGTTTTACCTCACAGGACACAACGGTCGTTTTGGGTTGCTGTACAGGAACTTAATTAAAATTGATATATAATTTGGGTACATTGTAACAATGTATTGTTGATGATAATCTAATGTAGCCCGAAATCCTAAACCCTAAACCCTAAACAGCAAGCCAATCGCTTTGGAGCCAGAGCTCTAGATGGAGCGATCTCATCCCTTGCCAGCTCAAAACCTGAATTCCAAGCCCTTCAGCCCTCAATCCTAAACCCTAAACCCTAAATCCTAAACCTTGAATCTCAGGCTTGAGGGTGGATCCAGAGGGTTGGGCTCTAAATATTTTTTTTGACTTGTAGCCAGGATGAGCTGTTGCGTGGCATCGTGATGCAGTGCTCTCGTATGGCTGGGCCCTTGGCCGATAGACGGGTATATGAGGGTCATGCAGAGATTATGTGGGGATATTGTTTATTATCCTACAAGCGGGTTATGAAGGGGAAAACATGTCGACTGCTATATACAGGGGCTGTATTTGTAGAGTGTACGGTTTTGGTTTCGGGGTTCGGGGTTTCATGATCTCTTGCTGAGAGCCAAGAATTTCAGAGTTTGGTCGCTTCGTGGTTTCCTTCTGGAGCGTCGGCAGAGGATTCATGGGGGCCTCATCAATAGGGATGCCGCGGCCAGGGAGACCGTTTATCAAAGCTTCGTTCAGGGCCAAATCCTAGGCTTCAAGTCGCACTCACCCTGCACGCCTTCCGATGCTTCCTATGCACAGCTTCATTCCCAGCGTAACCGGATTGGATTGTGATTACAAGGACTGGCGAATGTCATGTCTGTTAGTCTGCAAAAGATGGTGAAGGGATTCGTTGTGGCGGCGTAGAAAGGCTTGCTTTCCATTCCCCTGGCTCGAACTTTGCCTGGCTGACCCCAGGATCTGTTTGCACAGAAAGCCAAATCCTACTAGAACCTCAACATTTTTCTGCAAGCCAGAACTTTGTGAGGCAGAAAGACTGTTGAACCCCCCCCAATAAACTTTGCATGGGATGAGGAATGTGCCGATCGTTTGAATAGGGATTGTCAAGCCGGAGTGGCTGCCATCATTTTCATTTCTTACCGTACCCACCACCAGCCGGTAGACAGGGAGTATCCCAACTAAGCCCTAAACTGTAAGCCCTAAGCCGTAAGCACTAGGCCCTAAAGACTGACGTGAACCCTAATTTGAAGCTAAGCCCGTTTCCATTCTATTTTCCATGATCCCTATATCTCCCCAATATACTATATAGTAGTTTCCATTTTCTTTTCCGCTATCCCCAATATAACCCCAATATATTGCCCCAATGTAACCCTAAACCCTAAACCCTGGTACAGAAACCCGACGAGCGACCGACGGCGCAGCAGCTCTTGGATCACTCCTGGCTGGAGGAAACGGATGGTGCGGGGCCCCAGGAAAGGGTTTTGGGTTTAGGGTTTAGGGCTTTGGTTTAGGGTTTAGAATTCAGGGTCCAGGTTTTAAGGTTCAAGCGCCTTAGGGTTCGAGGTTTTGGGTTTCGGGTTAGCTCGTAGGTAGTTTCAGAATTTGAGGATTTATGGTTTACTCATTTACTCTTCAGGGTTCGGGGATGACCATGGGCTTGTCTGACCCTGTCTAGGGGTTTAGGGTTTAGGGTTTAGGATGGTGTTTTGGCAATGGTTTATTTTCCATGTCTCCCCCGTTGTTTTATAACGTGCCCTCTTCATGAATAATTTTGAGGGCCTTCAAAGTACCACCCAGAGAGGGCTTGGAGCACGGGCTGGATTTTGTTGTAGGTGGAGCTGCCTCATGTTTGCTACTGTATGGGGGTTTCCCAATATTAGGGGTACCTGTCCTTATCATAAGGATTGTAGTATTATGTGGCCTACAGCGAGGTTCCTCTATTCGGGAAACTTCCTTAGATTTCCTTCGTAGGGCCGTCATTCTTGCCGTTGTTACGGTGGTTCTGCCGATATGCATGTATGACTACCCTGATAGGTGCTACTGCCATCGATACAGTCTCGAAACCCGCCGTAACCCGTAAACCGTAAACAGTAAACACGAAACCCTAAACTCCACTTCTATTCACTGGCGGCATTCTTTTGAGCATCCCATGCTACAAGGGGGTTATATAGGGCATGATAGAGGGGAGTATGATAGGCGTTATAAGGGGGATGCTAGGAGTTCAGGCTATATCTCACATGTGCCCAGGGAACCGGCTATGCGAGCTCCTTCCTGCCGACGAAGCACCAGAGGAGGTCCCAGACGTCGACATCTTCCCGCTGCAGCCGCAGCTGCCGCAGCCTGGTGAAGCTGGAGTTAAGGGCTTGGGGTTTAGGGCTTAGGGTTAAGGTTTAGGGTTTAGCGTAACTACCAGGAGGGCCTCGGGTCCCCCACCCTCACAAAAACTACAGTGAACATGCAAAGATGAGCCTTGAAAGGACTGTGATCTTTGTACGGCTAAGGGCCTCCCTTTTTGGGTTCCATGGAGGGGTATTAAGTAGGATTATGAGCAACTTAAACAGGACATAAAAACATAGCCGTTAAACTCTTCCAGTCTTTCCCCAGCCCAAAAATCAAAAATCTAACAGCAGAACCTACAACGTGTTGGATGAAGAGTTTGACGATGGCTAATTAATCCAAGCAGTTTCCTAAATTCCTAAACCCTTAGCTCCAAATCCAAAACCCAATTAGGAAAATCATGGAAGAGGACGAGGACCTCCAGGCACCCTGGCATGGCTGGCCCTTCAGTCTGCTTGCAGAACGCTACGCTACGCTTTTGATGAGGGCTTTGCTGGTGCTGGTTCATGGTTTAGGGTTTATGGGGTGGGGTTTAGGGTTATTAATTTAGTACTAAAATACAGCTGCTGTTATCACCGTTGCTGCTGCCATTGCAATTCCTGCGCTTTCATTTGCTACGATTGTGTTTAATACACGTCAGCTACAAGCTCCACCACCACCGCGACCACCACCACCATATCTTTCTCTAGCTCGAAAAATACCTTTTAATTTCCGCGGTAACATGAAACTTGCAGCAAACAGCGTGAGCAAATGCAATAAAGATGAGACTTTGCCATTGGATTCAAGACAAAACCGTTATTACCTTCTCACGATAATGACACGTGCAGCAACCAGCAGCAGCAAAAGCAATAATGATGATACGTGGCCATTGAATTCAAAATATAACGAACGTAAGTACAATCCCACCCCAGGATGTATAGTTTAAGGACATCCACCTTACAGTAACTGTCCTTCAAGGGGTTTTCATTAAGGGGCTATGAGAACTCATAGTCTGTCTTGCGGCAAGTGGTACTTCAAGGGGGACAACCCAAGGTATAGTTGCCATGGAAACCGTGCTTTTGTTGGCTTAAGCCTGACACCATACAACCCAGATCCTCAGACGCTAGAACCCTGCAAGCAAACCCATAAGCGTGGAAACCCCCAACAGACAACCTCAAACCCATGCACCCCTAAACCCTAAACTTCTAAAATTGTTACTAAAGCCTTGATACGGAAGCAGCCTCATGCTGTGCCCAAAGCAAAGCCAGGACCACGGCGACAAGGGCGTGCTGCCTCAAAGCCAGTGAGGAGCTTGGATATGCTTGGGGATGAGAGTTTAGGCTTCAGGGATTTATGGATATGGGGTTTAGGATCTGGGGATTTCAGGATTTGGGGCTCTGAGCTTGGGGATGTCCCAAAGAAATGGAGTTCATCCACGTCTTTGATTTCCTCACATAATCCGGGTTCCCATGCAGAATCTGCTCCCATTTTTGAAAAGAGTCCGATGTGTGTGTGTGTGTGTGTGTCTCAAAGCTCCATGTTTCGGGCCCTTTCGGGTGGAAAGAGAAGTTTGCAAGATACAGGTTCCGTCTCGGACAGCTACAGCTGGGCAGTACCTTCTATAATTCTATAATCTAAATACAGTCAAAAACTTTATCCCCAACCTCGTCCTTATATACCCATCGTGTTCCCATTCCATAATTGCCTCCCTTGAAAAGGCCCTGTGTTACATGGGGACAAAGGCAGGGTCCAGGCTTTGCACCGTTATTGAGGTAGTGGCCACGCTTTTTGTGGACCCTGGATGCTGAGTGGAGGTCATCTTCTGCGTTGTCGCAAGAAATTCCTGGGTTGCTGTTAAGGAACTTAAATTAAGTTACCATAATGGGTATATATAGTAATTAATATGGTTGCCCCAATATAGTAACTTAAACTAAGTTCCTTAACAGCAACCCAGTATTGTCAACCGAAAAGTTGATTCGTGAGGCTACTGTGTGCATAGCAGGACCCATGGTAGAGAGTGCCACTACAGCGCTTAATTCTTGCAAGAAGACTGGAATTACCGAGCAGTTTCTTGCTGGAGGGCCTGGACTTCATGGCCTGAACCTGCTCCGGGTCCTTTGAATTTGGTTGTTGTTGGGAATGGAGGAATGGACCCCTATAGTAGCCCTCATGTTATCCCCAATGATTGAATGCACCTAAGCTTACAACCTTACTATGTAACCTCAATAATGTCATGGTTCATTTCATCTTGGATATTCCTTTCCATGTGAGCCAAAGCCTAAACTCCCTAAAGGGGGTTACATAGGGGATTATATTGGGGAATAGTTTTGGCGTTCTTAAGGGGGATACCAGGAGTTCAGATAATAGCTCATGTGTTTTCCATGCGGCTTTCATGATTTTCTAACCAGCTGAGGTCTGATGCAGACCTGTGCGGTGCCCAGCACGTCTTGCCGCCGGCAAGGCTTGACGTGAGAGTTTCTGCCGATGAAGAAGAACCCGAAGTTGAAACCTTGGGTCATAGGGTCTAGGGTTAATGGTTGTAGTTTCTTTCACTATTTTACCCAACACGAGGGCTTGGTACTATACCGACCTAGGTTTCTCCCAACAAAGTTGGAGTTTTTGGGATCCATGCAACGAGGTCCGTTTTTTTGGTGAGATGAGCTCTATCTTTCAGGAAGCAGACCGAAGGCATAGGAATCTGCTTTGCTTGCATCTTGAAAATCCGAAGCCACGCTCTGTCCGAGACCGCACCATTTCTGAAGAACCTTAGGCGAGGATGCGGGTCCTTGCTCTTTTAACAGCCTTCCTGGCCGCGCGCCTGACCAGTGCAGCGGAGTGCGACACATCCGAAGCCTCCCTTCTCCAGGTGGGGAGCGGCATGAGCTGCTCCCCTGTTCCGAGCATCAGATGCGAGGTTCAGTCTGGTAGCATGCCCCGGGCGCATAGCAAGAGACAGATGAAGCTTGTGAAGGATCTAGATCCATCCATCCAGTTGACTCCGTGGAACTGCTCCCTTTGTATGAACGACCCGGATGCCGCCACCATCTATGGCGTCGAGCGTTGGGATGGTCTGGGTCAACGAGCAGCCAGTCTTATCAACTTCATGGCACTCGCGGCCCACCTGAAGCTCAACTTCGGTGGCCTCTTGCCAAACCCCTCGGAGCGCGAGCACGGGGTCTACATCCCAAAGTGCATGACTGAGCTGCTGGGCACCAACTACAAGGGCATTCGGCGCCTTGCTCCAGAACCGCATTTCGACGTGTGCCTCTTCGGCGCGGATGCCATTGAGGATGCCATCCGCGGCCACCAGCCCTGGAAGAGTCGCCAGAGCGTCCTCATCGAAGAGTGCGGTAACGGCCGGGAATTTGTGGACTACCTGACTCCGGAGTTCCAGCAGCGACTAAGGCAATCCACCAGGCTTCAGCGCGAGAAGGCAGTTCACTTCCAGGGCTCCAGCATCAAGATCGCCGTCCATGTGCGCCGAGGTGACCTCAACAATCACGAGCATTGGGCTCACCGAAATGTGGCGGATGACATTTACATGGGCCTTGTCGGGGAAGTGAGACAGGTACTAAAAGAGCTTGGCAAGCCCGCCGAGGTCCACGTCTACAGCTCCACCGAAGGTGGCGCTTACACTTCCAAGGACTTCGATACCTACAGGTCTGAGCAGATGCAGGTCCACTTGAACGGCAAGGCGCCTGGAGACTGTCCTTCCTTTACCTATCATTCCTATTATTACTAGTATTAGAGTTGTTATTACCACTATTATTACTATCATTACTAGCATTATTATTCTTTTTACTAGCCCAAGTAGCTCTCTCCTCCCCCAGGAGCTGAATGATTGGGCGCACATGGCTCACGCGGACGTCCTGATCCAGGCACCCAGCGCATTCTCCTGGGTACCAGGAGTCCTGACACTCAACTGAACTCCAGTAGCATACGTAGGGCTTGTGCAATGCCACGGGGCCACGCTGCATGCTGTCCATGACACGAGAAGTACTAGGCACAGTGCCTGAACCTAAGCAGGTGTTCGTTCTGTCACGGGAGTTTTGAAAAGGCACGCAAGGGCTGAAGAGCAACTTGCAATCCTTTTTGATAGTTCCTACATAGAGCTGGGGCTTTCCCAGGTGGCACTACTTTCAGAAGCCCACACTGCTGCCAAGGAATTCCAAGTGCGTGCTGGCCTTCGACACGCAGCCTGTTGCAGAGTTGTACTTCTTGCAGGTGTTTAGAACGCAGGATAACTGCTCAACTCTCATATGCGGACTTCCTGTAGTAAGGATCCTACCCTAAACCCTAAACCCTAAATCCTAAACCCAAGACCCTAAACCCTAAATCCTAAACCCAAGACCCTAAACCCTAAATCCTGAACCCTAAACCCTGCATTGTCACCTCCCAGCTCCTTCTGCAAAGAGCACTATACGCCCAGGTATCCAAAGCCGCTGCAAGATTGGATTGTGCACAGCTCGGGCCAACTTGACTATACCAACAAGCAACGCCTGAGGAGTTGCATTGCCAAGAAGATTTTCCAGTCCGGTAAAGTTTAAAACTTTTTTCCGTGACATTCAGTTTCGAGGCTTAGCGAGGGAGGGCTTCCGTGAAGCCTACCAAAGCCCGAACTCGGAAGCCTACTTGAAAGCCTGGGGTCACCGAAGGCGAAGTGACAGAACTTCAACCCAGTGCATAAATGCTAGAATGCTACAATGTGGTGTAATTATGAAAAACTGTCCATTCCACTCTGCTCCAGCAGTCTGAAAGCAAAACGGGGAAGCTGCTTCTATGTAATCTCATCAGCTGCTTGTGGTTGGGCCCGCTCAGCACACGACGCGCAAAGAATTGCCATCGTTCCAATGATATAAGAATGGTAGGAGTGATAGGTAGTACTAGTAGCAATGATAGTACTGATAGTATCGGTAGTACTAATAGTAATAACAGACATAAAAGTAATACTAGTATTGATGGTAGTAGTTATAATAAGAATAATAATGCAGCTCCTCAGGCTAAGAGGCAGTCAGCGGCTTCGTCGCAGCCTTGGCAATCTCAGAAAGCTGTGAGGGCTTTTACTACCAGGATTGCTCTTACTAGTGTTACGAGTATTTCTAGTGTTACTATTTATTATTGTGATTAGTAGGTGAGAGGCTGGGCTGGGAGCTTTTGTTTTGAGCAAATGCTTTGGAGCCCCGGGTCGCGCGCGGAATCTAAAGGTCTTTATAAGGCGTTACCATTACCAGTACCAGTTTGCGCCGCTTGGGAAGTTTTGGAATTGCTGCGCCGAAGAGCAAAGCTAGGCCCCAGAAATACACCATTTTGCCCCCAAGTCATGTTTCGTTTGTAGTTTATAGTTATTTCACAGCACCGAGGTAGCCTGAGTGCGCTTTGCTGAGGAATGCCTAGCCATTTCTCAATTTACTGTTGATAAAAACGCAAAACCCCAAACCCTAAACCGCTTTTGCAGTACTTCCAGGAGCCCTGAACTCTATATATGTATATAATATTCGCTTAAGGCTAAGTAGCTTTTCATCGTAGGCTTCCCACAGCGGGACCCATGACCCATCGCTAGACGATCCTGATACAGCTTTGTACCATCCCTTCAAGACCTCATAAGCCCTAAATCCTGCATCCTAAATCCCAAGAGATCATAAACCATAACCCAAACCCAACCAATCCTAAATCCCCCAAAGCCCAGCCCTAAACTCCAAACCCTAAACCCTAAACCCCTCTCCCTTGGTTTCTTGAGCTGCCTAGGTGAGCCGGAGGATTTCACCAGGCCCCGGAGTCCTGAGCCTAGGGCTTCATGGGATTTCTATAGGAACCATTGTAGGGATCCATCTAGGGTTTAGGGTTTAGGGTGCAGGGTTTAGGGTTTAGGGTTTGGGGTGTAGGGGTTCAGGGTCTAGGGGGGTTAGGAACTACTACAGGATTAGGGTTAGGTTTCAGGGTCAGGAACCACTACAGGGATCCAGATAGCGTTTTAGGGTTGGAGACTGCAAAAGGACTCCTTGCAGGGTTTAGGGTTAGGAGCTGTCATAGAAAACCATGTAGCGTTGAGGGGTAGCGCCTACTATAGGGATCTTTTCAGGGTTTAGGGTTTAGGGTTAGGTATTACTACAGGGATCCATCTAGGGCTTAGGGATAGACTTAGAGACTACAGAGGCATTCTTTAAGGGTTTAGGGTTGATGGTTAGGAATTGCTATAGGGATCCATTCAGGGCTTAAGGTCTAAAGCACAAAGAGGGACCCTTTTAGGATTCAGGGGTCCTCTAGGAATGTACCCTACTGCTGGGCTAAGGAAATGGAACAGCAAATGGAAGATGAAATCAAAACTGCTGTGCTCGTGCGGTTTGATGGGAACCATTAATTGCAGGACTCCATAGGTCATAAAGTCTCCTAATCATGGAGAATTAAACAGAACATATAGTGGACAATGGAATGAAACGCAAACTACTGCATTTTTGATGGTTACATTGCAAGGCTGTAAAGATTTTTACATTTAGGGCGTAACAAGGGAGACTCAAATGGACAACCACACAAAACACTGGCGGTTTACAGGGCTTCTGTGGCGTTAAGGAGTTTAATGTTAGCATATTGGGGCACCAACAGGAAAACTGCATGGAAAGTCAACTGGATACTGTGGTTTTGCAATGTCATCGTTACTTTATATCTTGTTGGGGATACTACAGACTCCCCAGTGTAGAGCATAATTAGCATGTGGTCACATGGGCGTTAGGTTTTTGGCCTGGGGTTTGGGGCGTGAGGTTTAAACTCCCACGCGGGTTGGAGGCTGGCGTTTCATCTGGTTTTCAGCAATGTTCGCGGCTCGTGAACATTGACATCCCAACCGCTTGGAGAGTCGCTGTCATGCTTATTCTGTTCCTGATCATGAGAAGGCGCTACAGCTCATTCCTCAGATGTTGGAACCCAGGGTATAGGGAACCCCCCCCCATATATATATATATATGTACATCTATATACGTAGCGAAAACCGGCTATGAGGTGAAGGCATAAAAAGCTTAAGGCAAACTAGATAAGTGTAGTTCCATTTTGGATCGACATCAGCTTGTGGCCCCCAATATCTAAGCTACCCAAGAAGGAGCCAAGATTTTTGACAACCCCCCCATCAGCCCAGGAAGAGGAAGTAGCTGGTGGCAGCAGGGTTTGCAGAGGTGTAGTGGCTTTCTGACTCCTTGGGGCCCTAAACCCTAATCCCTAAACCTTAACCCTAAACCCTAATCCCGAAACACAGGATCTAGACTTGGAGATATATAGAGAGACACATAGGGATTTTTAGGGAGGTGTAAGGATATTTCAGGATGCGTACATGGAAAGGGGGATCTATGATATAGGGGGTAAATGGGGATATGTAGGCGTATATATCTACAGGGATAAAGGTATATGTATACATTTAATTTGGGGATCTATGGGGATATTCAGGGATGGATATGGAAAATGCGGATATACATGGGTGTTATAGTGTATGGGGATGAATGGGAATCATAGTCGTCCAGCTTAAGCCCAAGATCCTGTTCTGCTTATTTGGGCCTGGCATGAACTCCCTTTAACTCCTAAACCCTAAACCCCAATATACTATAGTAGTTTCCATTTTATTTTCCATTACCCCAAATAATCCCAATAAATACCCTATGATCCCTTTTTTAAACCGTCCCTGACAGGCCAAGCTCGCCAGAGCAGCAGTCGCCGTCCCCCGGCTTCACCAGGGGCAACTTATGGCCAGGAATGATGAAAGGACTCTAATGGGAACCCCAAATGGAAAACCCCAAGAATATAGTAGGAATATAGTAAGAGTATGCCCACCGGGGTTGTTTGATTGCTATTATATTCCTAAGATTCTTGTTTGGGGTCTCCGTCAGAGTCCTGTTAAACAAGGGGGCTCCTCCACCTGTCTGATTTCAGGTGCTGGTGCGAGTTGCAGTGTTTTGAGAGTAAGGAAGATGGCCTTGAATAATGAGAAACAACAATTAGTGCTGGCTTGAGAATACTGATTCCCTTGCTGTAAGGACCGACTGGCACTCTTTATGGCAGAGGCTAAGTCCAGAAGCAGAACAGTTTAAAGCTATCTCCATTCCCGACCCTCAACGAGCTATAGTCCAAACTCCTGAAAGGCAGTTCTAAAGAGGGTTATATAGGGGAGTATTGTAGGGGTCATTAAGGGGGATACTAGGAGTTTCGACTATAGTACAGCTCACACAGTAGTTTTTATTTCATTTTCCATGTGATGTTGTATGATTCTGAATTAGTGGTACTTCTTCAGAACTCCAAATGCTAGACGGAAACGGGCTGAGAAAACATTTTAACATCAGCCACAAGTGGCAGTTTCCGTAAATGGGGAGGACCCCAATAGAGACCCCTCAATGCTGTAATCCTTTTTATAGGGACCCCCAAAAGGTACTCTTATTTTGGGAAAGCTGAAGCATTAATCCCTAGACCTTTAAGCCTTGCATAAGCCCTAGATACCCGCTATATAACCCCAGCCTAAACATTGGTACCTGCCTACACCACCCAATCGGTCCTCATGAGAGTCCGAACCAAAAATTGCATACCTAACCCAAAAGGGAACTACATTGGAGGGTTTAGGTCTGCTCCAAGGTCCAGTAATTCACGTCAGCTCGGAGCGATGAGCACCGAACAGGGCAGCAGCCTCGACGCACTTGGCAGTCTAAGAGGGATTGTGAAGGTTGTAGGGTTTGGGTTTAGGGTCAAGGGTTTAGGGCTAACGGTCTAGGGTTTAAGGATTCGGGTTTAAGGTTTAGGGATAAGGGATCAGGGATTAGGCTTTAGGGGTAATGTTTTGGGGTTAAGGGGTTTAGGGCTAGGGTCCAGGTTTAGGGATGGGGTTTGGGGATCCAGATGTAGGGTTCCCGAGTAGGGATGATTCAGGGTTTGGGGGGGCCTTCAGGCAATGCGCAAGGAATGGACAAGCATATGAGCTATAGTCTAAACTCCTAGTATCCCCCTTAAGAACCCTTATAGTAGTCCCCTATATAATCCCTTATAAAACCCCCCATTAAGGAGTTTAGAATGTAGCTCATGTGGAAAGGCAATCTCTAACTGTGGAGGGGTTTATGGGGAGTAGTGCGGTTTAGGGTTTAGGGTTTAGGGTGCGCAAGAAAGCATCTGGGGCGTACTCAGGGTTTCGGGCGTAGCTTGCAGTGCAGAGTCTAGGGAAAGGTTGGCAGATGGACCATACCGTTGCGTGGTGTTTTTTGGGAAGTACAGTTTTTCTGTTTGAAGCGTATATAAAGCCACCTTACCCGGCGGTAACTATTGAGCTATAGTCTAAACTCCTTCAAGGAGGCTATATGGGGGATTATATTGGGGATTATTTTAGGTGTTATTAGGGGGGATACTAGATTACTAGGAGTTTAAGACTGTAGCTCAAATGGTGGCTTCGGAGTTTCGGCTCGTAGGTTCAGCTGTATACTAGTTTGGGGTTGAGCCTTCGGAGCTCCTAGAAACCATTCACGAAGCTTAGTGGTTTCCAACCCCAAAATACTGTACTGGTTTGCATTTTCTTCTACATTTTCCCTAT